TTCAAACAAAAAAGCCTTTTTTCTTTCTCTTTTTTGGGGGGATTACTATTTTGTCTACGTCTTCTTAGTGCTGATCAAGCAGTTTTATTGCTGTTTAAATCATAATCAAGGAACAGCAGTCTTGGAAGCGAATGAACGTTCTGCTAAATCATATTTGGCATGAAAAGTGAATGCCAAGAATGAATTGATTTGTAGATCAGCAAAAAAAGTTGTTGAGATCTAACTAAAAGAAAAAAAAAAGAGGAAAAGAGAAAAAAGTATCCAAAACTTGAAATGTCATTAGATCGATCTTTGCAATACTGGTATTCCTTGTTTTGGAAGACGATAACGAACAAAATCTGTCAGGGTCTGAAAATTCTACTTCTTTGCTTTACTTTTTTTTTGCCTTATATTGAAGCACTGTTTTAAGAGTCAATCAATTTCCACCTGATGATACATTTACGACCTGGGTACTTGTCCTCTTGTATTCCGTTTCTTTTATTTCTCTGTTTTTTTTTTTATTTTAATTTTTCTTTCTGAAATTACTTTTTCTAGTCTTTGCTCTAAATTATAGGTTTTTTTTTTCAGAAATTTAGTATTTGCTGAGCCGGTGAAACGTTCTGTATTGTATAACATGTCGTCAAGTCCTGATGATTCAGACTGTCGATATAAATGTTCCGGTAGTTGCTGTGATCGTGAACTTTTGGCTGAGCCATTGAAATTTCCAATAGCAACTGGCCTGACTGCACCAAACCGATTCATGAAAGGTTCGATGTCTGAAAGGGTATGAAACAGATAATTTACCATCTTTGTCTATCAATTGACGTTGAAAAGACCGTCTTGTTTTTTATTACCAGCACCTACTTCAACTCTCAGAAGAGGATTATTTTTTAATTCTTGGTTTACTGACTCTTCCAGTTATGTCGATTCGACAAGAACCTTCCGCAAAAAAGTGGTATTCCATCAAAAGCGCTTATTGAGTTATATAGTAAGTTTGCGCAAGGTAACTGTGGAATAATGGTTACTGGCTGTATAATGGTTAATCCAGTAAGAATTTTTTTTTACAGATTGTTAGCAGTGATATAAATATTTGTTCAACAGTTGTCAAAAGAAATTGATGAAGTATTGCTTGTTTGCCATTGACCGTAAAAGTTCTGCTTTTTTTTTACATTCATTCGCTGTAGTGCATATTTTTAAAGCAAATACTGTTGAGCCTGATTTTACAGTCTGCTTGATTGCAGAATGAAATTGAGGCTCCTGGTAACGTTATAATACATAAAAGTGTAGAAAGCGCAGAACGAAAAGCCGCATTTCAAGAATGGACGAAAGCTGGAAAGGCTAATGGGGGATTGATAATAGCACAGTTATTTCACGTTAGTCTAGAACTTTTTTTTTGCTTTTTGGGTTGGCGCACAAAACTTCTAGTGAACCGGTGGCTATTTTGAAATAAACAATTTTATTTTCTAAACCTTATTTTAGCCTGGAACGCAGGCTTCAAAATATGGTAGCAGCCTAAAATTTGACCCAGGGAGAGCATCAAAAGAAGAGCTGGAAAATTTAATTGACGAATTTGTATGTGCTGGATTATACACTGAAATATACGGTAAGTTCTGAAAATTGTAGTTGCTTAATAACTTGTCATTTGCATTTGAGATTTTCAAGAAAAAAAGCGCTTAGGATTTGACGGGGTCGAGCTACCGTGTGCTTGGGACTTTACATTAGGATATCTTACCAATGCTGATATCAACCGGCGAAACGATGAGTATGGCGGTTCTTTCGAAAATCGTTACAGAGCACTCCTTAAAATTATCGACGGTATCAGGTCTTCAACTGTTTTCACTCTTGAATCTTCTCTACCTCCTAATTGCTTATTCAATTAATATTACCTTGAAGTACAATGATAGAAATTTTACTGTTTAAAATGACATTTTACAGCAGCAGTACTTCAGCAGGTTAATGTCGGAAGGTCTCATCTAAGTTCTTAAGCTGTCGAAATAAGCCTAAATGCTTTTTATGCTAGAATAGCACTGATTTTTACTCTGACAAGCTTGGAAATTAAAGATTTGTTATAGCGATAAGAAACTGTATGCAATGGACAGTCTTTTTCAGGATTGGAATTAGAAATAACATGAAATTTATAATTGGCGTTAAGTTAGATGTTGCGAATTTGGCTCCTGCGTTTGATCTTAACGAATTTGCAATTTTTGTTAAAAAGTTAGAGGTAATTTGAAACCAAATAATCGTATGGAAAAAATGATCTGAATAAACTGTCATTTGTTTCTGAGCAAAATTATTTGTAAAAATTTAGTATTTTTTATAGGATCATGGTGTAGATTACATAAGCTTTAGTGGTGGACAGTTGGAATCTCTATTGGAACTGCGTGAAGAGGAACACAGATGCCTGAACGTGGTTGACGCCACCTATGTCAATGTTGCGACAACGGTTAATTTTAGATATATAAGTTGAACAAATTTCACCAAAATTTTTATTTTTCAATCGCTTGATAGGTGATAAAAAGTAATTTGAATGTTGTTACTGTAAACTGACAGTTCCATTGTTTGAGTAATTTGTTCCTGACGACCTTTTTTTTGTCAACAATGGCTCAAGGTTTTCAAACCCTGTCCAACAGCAGTAACAATGAAATTTTTTGAGAGAAGCTCTTTTTTAATAAGTTCCAATATACATAAGGAATTTGATGATAAAATATTCCTTCTAAAACGATCTCAATTTTTTTTGCTTCTCCCACTGACTTATTTCGAAAAATTTTTTGGAAGTTCTGAAATGACATCAAAGCTTACCGAGATGGCAATATTAATTTTAATTCATTATGTTGTTTTCCTATACTCTAAAAATGCTTTTTAAAATGAGTTAGACTTAATTTTTTTTTACTGAGTTTGTTGTTTTACGCATTAAGCTAAAAAAAATGAAAGAAGAAATTTCATTGATTTAGTAATGTTTGAACAGTTTCATAAAAATTTCTTATTTTGGCAATTTCTCTGTAGATGTTGTTTGAAAGTGTTTAACATTTCTAATACTTTATAACTGTAGCGTTTGCTATAATATTTGTCCTTCCTCTATTACTAAAATTTTAGTCAAAAAAAATGGCCAGGAAGATCCGAGTATTTTTGAATGCTGGACCAACTTTATGCGATATGAGTGAAGTTTTAAGGAAGAATTGGGCAGACGGAGTTGTACTCGCAAGGCCGTTGGCTGCTGAACCTTGTAAGTGGTTTTTTCTGCTTAGAAGAGAGAAAGAAAGGAGATGTGAAAAATCAGCAAAGAGTTTGTGTGTCGAAGGGAACGGAAGCGAAGTGGCACATTGATTTGCTACCCATAAAACGTTGCTTATGCCGACCCTGGCAGGACTCGAACCTGCAATCTTCGCCTCCGGAGGGCGACGCCTTATCCATTAGGCCACAGGGCCGCATGCAATTTCCTTCGAAGTCAACCTTATGACAATCATTTAAAGCATTCAAAAGCACATCTAACCTTTACCTAATTGCTGTTGACAGCAACGAGACGTTACCCTTAATTAGTGTTCCAGTAAATAAATTATTGTTTAGTTTAAATTGTTTTATATTGCAGAACACTAAGTTATTAGAATTCAGTAATAATTATTGGTGCTTATAAATTGAAATTTTTTTATTCCTTCAGCTTAGTTCAAAATAATATTTTTGTTTCCAGTATTGTTTTTTTTACAGTTATGAAAAAGGAGCTCAATAATTATAATAACGTTTATCAAATTTAACTTTTTTTTACTGGCTTTTTACTTTATGTTTTATACTATTTTTGAAAGTAAATCTATATTACAAATGTTATTTTCAGCATTTCCACAGAAGTTACTATGCGGTGTTGTCACCGGTGGTATTAAATCTTTGGTTAGCGACAGTGACTTTATGACAGCGTATGACTGTTTTTTAATTGTTTATAGTTACTATTATAACAACAAACAGTTTGCTAATTGACTGAAACCTAGAGAGTAGGATCTTAGAGAAAAACGAGGAGAGGATAACTATCGACTATTAATTTTTACCAATTCCACAAATTTTCTGAACTTATTTTGAAACGACAGTAGATAAATGAATGAATACATATATATTTATTTTAAAGTTGACGAATTAGAGCTTTTTTTTATGGCGGAAGCAGTGAAAATAATGAATGACAGTCTAAAAGCGACGTTTTTCTTTGCTTAAACCGCTTTTTTTTAAAGTTATCATTTTGAGAACAGTCGATAAAGGTTAGTGAGACTTTTATAAAAAAAAAAATTTTCTTTTTTTCTGAAGAGGGGGAGAAGAAGAAGAAGAAGAAGACTGACAAACTTAATTGGTAATTTTAGTGTTGAGATAGCCGGAACACAGATGTGGCAACATGCAACCAATAATCCAGTGATGGATTCGTCAAACGTTGAGCATTTGGCCAAATTTAAAGTTTGCTTGGCGAAACACGAAGATGCCATTAGACGTGCACCGTTAGATAAACCAGTGATTGGCTATGCAAAACTGCAGTTATAAAAGTCACCATCAGAAGCCTAATTTTTTTTTTAGTTTGTTAAATTAGAAGATATCAGTTTTGTCTCGCCATGTTTTCATTGAACTGTAATAATTGAATTTATTTCTTTAGTTATTTTAATCTGCCTAAAAAGTGAAAATAAA